AGGTGGAATAACCAGACCTTTGAAAGCTCAGGCCCTCCTGGCACAGCCTGCTGCCTGTCTCCCGCGCTGCCTGCCAGGTGGGATTGCTTTTCTCTCCCCTTGGCGCCCACAGACCAGCTCCCCCCAGCCCTGCGCAGCAGTGCCTCTCTGTGGGTGACCCGGTACATCAGCACCCGCTTCGCTGGGTGCCCTGCGGGGTGGCAGCTCTCTGCGCTGTGCCGCTAACTGGCAGCTGCTTGCTGCTTCAGCCTGCGCTCGAGCTAGCTGTCAGTCGGTGAACAGTCAGACATGACATTGGTTGGAGTCCGAAGCAGGCAATTTGTCTTCAAACAGGCTCAGGAGTTAAAACATTATGGTTTTGTTTTGGCGCTTTGTTGCCAGAGCGCTGAGCATTTAAAACATTTTTGCTTGCTGGATTTAAGCATCTTTAAAATAAAGCCTTTTCAGTTTGCACAGTCCTATAGTTGTTTACTTTTAAAGCTCATCATTTAGCCTTGGTTTGCTCCAGGCTTCTTGCGAGATTGTCTCCTGTACGGAGCTGTTACCTGCCCATGCTGTTAGTTCGCCAACATCTGTAACTTCCACGCTTGCATTTCTCTGGCTAGCCAATGTTTTCACTTGCAGACCATCGTTTCTGGTTCCCTGGAGAGCGTCCCCCTTGCTCTTCCCACAGAGCCAGCCTGCCTTCCCGGCCGCCCCAGGCTGCTGAGGTCGCTGCCCCGAGAAGGAAGAACTGGAGCTGGTGCTGAAGCCTGAAGCCTGCACTGTGTCACCGGGGCTGGATGCTTTCCTTTTGTTTTCTTTAGTCTTCTGGTAAATACAGGTGACTATTAAGAAAACAACTTTGCAAAGATAGATAGTTTATTAATAGGGGCTTAGTGTTGGTTCCTGAGAGCTTTATAGCTGTGCCCTCTGATTATTTCTAATGGGGGCATAGAGTGGGAAGTTCAGAGCCGTCCAGCACCAAACCTGGAGGCTCAGCTCTTGCCATAGCCCAGCTGGTGGCAGCGATGGGGACCAGGGATTTACAGAAGAGCACTAGAGACCCTGTGGTTACATGAGACCCTGGGGGATTCGCTTTCTCAGAAAGCTTGGCCTTATCCCCCAACTGTTAGAACTTGGTTTGTGCCCTGAAATACAAGGATGTATCTCTCTTCCAAAAGGCATTTAATGGGTTTTCACATTCACAATCATAAATCTTACTCCAGACGTTTGTATAGATTACTTTGCTTTCTGGAAGAGAAAGCTACTCTGCTTTCATGCTCATGTGGCAACAGGCGTTTCGTTAAATAACTTCTCTGGATTGAGCAACTAATCTTTCTCCATAAATCTTTATTTTCAGTCGAGACTGGAGAACTGCTCTTCCCCTCTGCTCCTGATGTTCATTGCAGTCCCAGGTGATGAGCAGGACTCGGTGATGGCAGAAGCATCTTTCTGCCTGGTGTGAGGTGGCACAGGAGGGAGCCCGAGCCATCGGGGGTGTCGCCCGCGAAGGGGGCAGTGGTACAGCAGCGTATTCATGGCGTGCAGTGAAGGGGGGAGCGACAGCAGCCTGCAAGAGCCTGAGTTGCACAGACTGACCTCTTGGGATTCCTGTGCTGAACAGGGGAACTGAGTACCTTTGTAACTTCACTTCTCACCTACATGCGTGTCAAACAGTATCTGGATCAGCAGGGAAGAGGAGGTGTCTTCTCTAGGCATACATCTGCGGTGTCATTAACTGGGTAATTATACCTGAGGCTGACGCCTTGGCAGCGTCCCCGTTGTAAAGAGTCTGGGTGATTGGCTTTGCAAAGAGCAGGACCGCTGGGTAAAATAGGAGAGTATGTTTGAAGTTTAGACCTGTACATACAGGTTTGCAAAGCAAGAGCCTCTGCTTTGGAGTAATGTGAGAAAGCATCTCTATTGTTTGCAGGAAAGAAAAAGAGAAAAAAAAATTCCAGTGTTAAACTCAATAAAAGCAAAAACAGTGCATAAAGAAGAGCTGATTGCAAATGTCTCAGCTTGTTCTTAAATGAAGAGGGTAAATTATCCTTAAATTAAAACCAATTCTCTGTATGCGAGAAGTTACTTAAGAGAGGTGGAACCCATCTGTATTCCAGCCACCCTTCCTTGTTCTCTGGGCATTTACAGCCAGTGGCACCTTCTCCTCCATACGCCCATGCTGTGCTCCGGTTACACAGCCGTTCATGTCCCTGTCAAGTAGTGCACGCTCCCAGCTTGGAGAGAAGGGACGGTGTACGCCGGTGCGAATGGAGCAGAGGAGCGGCTACTGCTGGCGTATCCTCCAGAGATGCTTGGTCCGGCGGCGTGTCGTTCCATGCTGGAGGTGATGAGCATCCCAGCCGTCACGGTTCTCTGCGGTCGATGGGACGAACGCCGGCGGTTCGGGACGTTGGCAGCCCCCCAGGCTTTGCTGGGGCAGTGACACGGTGTGGTCCCTCTCCCAGGTCATGGATTCGTTTCACAGACCGTATGCACAGCTGGGGATAGCAGTGATGAGGGTGCTGGGTTTCTCCAGGTATTAAAAGGAGAATCTCTACATCCCTAGGAATTAGGACAAGATGGGCAAGCGGCTTATTCTCATGCTGAGCAGAAGCAGACTCATGAATAGCCATTGCATGACCACTTGTTTCCCTTTTTGTTAATGGCTAACAGCTTAAAATAAACAGACTATGCATGTACAGTTAACAGAAAATCGGTTCCTGCCCCAAAGAGTTTATTTTGTGAACCAGGAAGCAGGCCCTTGCCATTTCAGCGGAATCACTGTACCATGACTGTGGGCTGAGTTGTTGACTGCAGCTTAAAAGCTTTCGTTCATCCGAGCCCATCGGCAGGGGGGGAAAGTTGTTGTAGAGACTCTTCTAATGTGCCCATTTTGTGCACAGTGATCCAGGAGGGCTGCAGGTGCAGAGGCACCTGCCTGGTCTTGGCTGGGAGGAGATCGCTCCCTCTCCGTGTCCCTTCCCAGCAGCGCCAGAGGTGGCGGATGCTGCTGAGGAGCTCATGGGAAATAGCACGGCTGCCTCATCGAGCAAGGCTTGAACCCGCTTCCCAAATCTCGTCCGCCCCCTGCTCCCCTCCCGTGGGTGCCCATGGGTGCCTGGGGGGACAGGGCAGGGTGGGGGATGAGCCCGCATGTCGGGACGCTGCCCAGAGCTTGGGGGAGAGGAGGGGGCTGGGGCATGGTGGATGTTCCTCCTCTTGGCAGGAGGATTTAGATAGAGCTGAGCCTGACCCTGAAGTGTCCTTGGGGGGCTGAGGCAGTGACTGTGCCGCCTTCCCTTACTAAAGCCGTTCACAGGAGAGGCTTGACCTTTTTAAATATTTTGTGCTATTATCGTTGCAAAAATGCTGTAGTTTAGACTAGGGAGGTGAGATAGGGAAGGAGCAGGAGCCTATGGGCGAGGGGAGAGCAGGAGGGTTGTGTGGATGCTTCCGGGGCAGCACCGCTCGCGGCAGCCCGGCAGCCTCGGCCAGAGACCGAGTTGGCCCCGTGGGCTGGGCTGGAGCCTCCCCGGTCGGCCCAACCCCAGCCATTTTATACCTGTGATAGTTTTGATGGGCATCCCAGTGTCAGGCGTTGTCATGAGACTGGAATCTTGCAGTGCAGCTGGAGGGGAAGGAGAGCAAAATCACCTTACAGCTCTCCATGCCCATGCCTGGGAAAGTAGGGCGTCCATTCTTGTTTGATGTATGCACGTAAAGAGGTCAAGTGGAGAGAGTATGGCCTCGGCACTTGTTTCCCATAGCACAAAAATAACTCCAAGTAACCCAGTTTCAGCTGAAGTTGTTTATTACTCATCCTCCTCAATGAACTGTTAAAAGGGAGGACGGTGCTTGTGTTCTCTGGGATTTGGTGTAATCGCTGCTTCTGAGGCTTGTCTAAGTGTCCTTAACACTGGTAATGAGCGAAGGGAGGGGGATGAGAAGAGAAGTGCTGATGAGAACGGTGTTAAAGGGGTTTAGCAAGGTGTTGCGTGCTGCAGGTAATGCACTCTTGGCCCATTACGTCTCCAGTCTTAACAGCTAAGGCACTGGGGGTGGTGTAATGATCAGCTTTTAATGGGGACGATTCTAAGAAGTTCAGACGTGTGGTATTTTTGCAGGTCTTTAGCATAGTCCCATGCGCACGCAGTGTGAGAAGGAGTTGGTTATAGCTGAGCCTTATAACGACTTTTCTGCCACCCTGTGATGAGAGGCTGCAGGTGGGATTTTGCAGCTGGCGGCCGGCCGTGCCAGCGGAGCTGCAGCGGTGCGCTGCTGGCAGCCAGCGCCGGGGGGGAGCAGTGGGACCTTCTGTGCGCTCCTCCCTCCCAAGGGCAGAAAACAAAGCTGCTCTCTGGAGCAGGGAGGGCGATGGGGAAGCAACAGGCTGAGCCGGTGACGTCTATGATACTGGGCTGCTAAAAATTTGCCGCTTTTTCTCATTCTGATATCTTCAGAAGTTGTGGACGTGTGTGGGGGAGATAGGGAGCTGTTAAATCAGTGCACCAAAATCGGTGCATCTCTTGTCAAAACTGGTACATTAAGCGGTTAGAATCAACCTCGTCCTTTTAATGGATCTCTGATGACTCCAAAGGGCTATTCATGTAAGAATATAGAAAGCAAACGCTTGCAGGATGGTAAATGAAGGTTAAGCTGGATATAGAGTGATTTCCCATGTAAGCTACTTATGCAGAGTCTGAGGTGCACAGTTCTATGATTTGCTGAGACTGGAACGGTATGAAGAACATCAGATAAATCCTGATCCAGTAAATGTGTTTAGACTTGACAAGAAAACAAATGATGAGTCAGGAAGGAAAGTTCATTCTTGGCATGTCTAGCAAATGAGGCATTAAAAAAAAAAGAGCTGAAATCTGGAGCTCTAAGGGCTGCTCTCTAAACAAGTGGAAAGGTGAGTCTAAGATACCGGTTAGTCTGACAATAAGTAACTTCTGAAATTTCTGCAAGCCCCCCTAAACCTGCTGCTGCGCAGGGTCTCCCTTACAGGGAATCGCTGGTCCCAGTTTCCTCCTGGCTGGCTGCGAGTGCAGCCCAGGGGACGGGGCGGCTGGTGACAGCCTGGCATGAGACCCACGGCGGCAGAGCCTGTGGGGCGGCAGCTCCCCCCCAGCCCCAATGTCTGTAACCTGCAGACAGCAAACCCAATTAGTATTAATGGGTGGCACAAAAAATAATTCAGCCCCCAAAAGCACTGTAAAGAGAGTCGTGGTCGTAGGGGAAAGGCCACTGTCTGGAGACTGTATTCAGCAAACTGTAGGTACGTGCTGTGGCAGGAGGATCACGCTGTGTTTTGAAGGCATTCTGAGAGAAAAACAGCTCGTTACAGCAAAAAGCCAAGCAATAGATGTATGACATTTAAAAAATGAGAACCAAACTATCCATATTTCATTACTTTTTATTTGCTATCTATTGACTATCTCTGCTGTGCTGCACAGTGCAGAGTGATTTTTCTCCTTGGAGATCTTGGTCTAAAAGCCTCTGATGTGTGCGGGTAAAGAGGAGCAGTGCCGCCTGGCAGCGGGGAGGGTGAGCAGAGAGGGGGTGCTGAAGTATGGCGAAACAGCAGTGACCGGGTCTGCGTTTCGGGTAGCCAGCTCTCATAAAAAGCGAGTATATCTGGCAATGAACCACTCCCGTAGCAGCAGAGGAAGAACTGTGCTGTTTTTCCAAAAGATACCAACTTCCAACATAAATTTTCTGCTGGGGGGTGAACTGGGAAACCAGCACCGATATGGTCTTCCCTTCCCTTCCCTTCCCTTCCCTTCCCTTCCCTTCCCTTCCCTTCCCTTCCC